AGCGTAACTCCAAATATGAGAGGATGAATCAGCATTGTTGCATAATATAGCACTTTAACAAGGCTCTAATGTATAACAAATGGTCTCCCAATGTGTTCAATGTGTATTAAATATTAGCAAATTGCTTCTTGGCTACTATCTTTCCACTTCCAAAATGTTCTTATGTATTTGGGGACATTAGAAATTGGTAAAAATGTTGTGAAATAATATGGACTGACCCATAAAGTGCTTGACTTTCTGGACTGAAATTCTGACTTGAGCATGGCACTAGATGAAACATCAATGCTTCAGCAACCTACGGAGGATATGAATGTCATTACCACATCTCAAGGCAATCCAATAGTTGTTATCTTTCAGTCTGTCTGTCTGTCGTATCCATCATAAGAGCGATGACCCTCACATCACTGATTATATATATATTAGATGATCAGTGCCACATGCAGACACACTGACTTCGCCCTATTTGAAAGTGTGTCGAGTGTTGATTGAAACAGCACGTTCCAAAGCATACCCAGCCCCCTCTCACATGCACATATTCATTATAGCAAATGGTATTAGTGGGATTGGAGGCGTAATCTCCCTCCCTAGCGATGCAGGGGAACCAAGCTGTTAATTTCCCGCCTCTAACTACTCCGAGGTACTTGCTTTGAAAAAAATGCATGGAGTCTCTCAAAACTCAGCACATGAATGATTTACAACACATGGCGTTAGACGATGTAGATGTGAGTCTGGGGGATTTGTGTTTGTGCGACTATAGAAGTACAAAACATATTCATGTGTCGAAAGGTTGTGGCATACAGTGCTGGGTCTGGATGTCAGTGAATCTGTTTCTCTCTGCTTCTCCTCTTCTTACTCGGTAATGACTAGGGAAATATGACAGGAGGATGACTGTGCGGCGTTCACAAGTGTGTGTTTGTGTGTGTCTCATCTTCCAAGTTTCCCAGCTGCAGAGTTGAATAACAAAATATCAAAGTAGCAGGTTTGCCCAGGTCGCAGAGTTACTTTCCCTCCGCTGTTGTAAACACACACATATCTTATTCCTGTAGCCATGCATTCAATTTCTCTTTTGAAATGGATATGCACCTATTTATATGCACAAAGAGAGACGAAGGGGAACAGGAATCACACAGCAGCATGCACACAAATACACATACAGGAGAGCCACAAAGAAAAGTTGTTTTACCAATTGTTTCCCTTTGCTGACCTCGCCTTTTATCGAAGCCTCTCTTTTTATTTGTTTATCCCCGTCTTCTATGAATTCTACATTCGCGTCCTGAAGTTTATGAAAGTTTCCAATTGTATTCCTCAGGGCAGAAACCCACTAGTAACAGAACTCAAATGTCCCAAACGTGAACTCCAACCCAGTTCCCTTTGAGTTTATTAAACAGCAGGAAATCAAAGGAACAAAACAGTTTTGTTCACAAATTAAATATCAAACAGAGAAAAAGCCATATTCCACATAGAGGTGCGCATTGATCGCCATCTCCGTAGTATTAGCTGTTTGCTCTTTTAATATTCTCTGCTCGAGAAAGTGTGTATAAGAAAACGCTCAGTCTAAGAATTCATTTCTGTGATTACTGCAACCAAAGAAAGTCTAATACATCTTTCTTCAAACATTCAACTGAAGCAAAGTCTGGGAAGTCGCTACGACCGCAGCCTGTTGCAGTTGCTCCTGCTAGAATTTCACTATTTCCAACTTTCAGCTTTCTTATTTGATCTTACTTTCCGTTAGTAACTTATATTAGTAACGTATTAAGCTGGTCCGTCTCTAAACTGTGTTGTGGAGAGAGATTTTGTTTCTCTGCTGTTGTGCATTCAATTCAAAACCCCATGGCTGCCTTGTTTACGCCATAGAGAAGCTAAATGCTGTTTAGCATAGTGGTTGAAACAAAGGCTATCCCAACTGAACTCTGAAGAAGGAGTTGGTAAACCAAAGGAGGAGAGCTGGGTGCACACTTATGGAGAACTTATAGAGAAAAGGCGATGTAAGCGGTGTCTCCCGCCTCTCACCATGGACAACTTAAGATGACTGGCTAATCATGGACAAGCTAACGGCGTTCGCTAAGACTCAAACTGAATATCTGGAGTGTAGTTTAATGTGTTTTACGGAAACTTGTCTGCACCAGGATAAATCTGACAACAACGTTTCCATCGATGTCTTTCAGACTGATTTGGCAATGTTTCCATCAACAATCAACAATGTTTCCAACTATTCCTTTGATAGCTTCTGATCTGTTTTGGCCGACAAGGATGCACTAAGTATTTCACAAGGTTTCAAAGTGAGCCTGCATCTTCATCATGTCTTCATCATGAGCCTGAGTTGTCTGAAATGTTCGGGCAACGTTTCCATCAACACAGTTTTTATCGAAAATGTCTCCAACTATTCCTTTGATAGCTTCCTGGCTGTTTGGGCCGGCAAAGGATTTCATTAAGGCGAGACACGGCAGGCAAAAACATCGTTTTTCATGCACTGGTCAATTTTGAGATTTTGTACTATTTTGATTCCATAACATATTTTCTTTCAGGCTTTTGGAAGGAAAACGTACAAAATACACATTTAGGTGTTTATTTTACTATAGTTTGTCTATTTGCGTCTGTAGATTTCTCCTAAATTCACCAAAAGTTAGCATTCTAGCGTAACATAAAGTACCGTGACCACTGTTTGCACCATGTAATCAGAGGTATCGTTGGAAAGCTCCGTCTCTCCTGCACAATCTCATCAGATCCAAATATGGTCATTTCCTTTGTATCAGCAACCAATCGTGAAAGTACAAAGGGGTCATAAACCAAAAAACTAAATCTCATTGGCTGGTGTCAATTTCTGACAACGTGATTCGTTCAGATGCGTCACGTGGTGTGCTAAAACACTTCCTGGTTTAGCTTTCGCTGGAAATTTAAATCTCAAAATGGCGCATATTTAATGAGATTATGGCTCATTCGCATATTTAAACATGCTATTTCAGAAAACGTGTAATACAAAAAACAATTGTCTTGATGTAAGTAATTAACTGGACACATTTCTAGCTGATATCTTTAAGTAAAAAAAATTACCCTATTCACCTGTAGTGTCTCGCCTTAAGCGCTTCACAAGGTCTTCAATGTGAGCCTGAGTCTTCATCATTTGTTCATCATGAGCTTGAGTCTTCATCATGTCTTCATCATGAGCCTGAGTCTTCATCATGTCTTCATCATGAGCTTGAGTTGTTTCCAACGATTCCTATAGCTTCTGGACTATCAAAGGAAAATACTTTGTGTCCCTGACAAGGACGTTTATCGCACAATTGTACTTCCTTTATTTAAATATATATTAAGGTTATTCTAATATGGTGCAACTGTCACGAAACCTAATTTCCCCAGGTATTAATAAAGTATTTTGATTGATTGATTGAAGAAGAAGCATATTTTAGAAGATTCTGCAAAACTCAGCATAGATTGTTGACCTTTCCAAATGTCTGAGGCGTGTGCAGAGGCAGGGACTTCAGATGACGCTCGGAGGGAATACCGACAGTGAGTGATGGGCTTTAGAAACATTCCAGTCACACACACACACTGTCCATCTTCAATCTCTTCATGCAGTATCAGCAAGTTTTGCATTGGTGGTCTCAGTTGGTGCACTTTTTTTATGTGTGTACGACAGACAGCTGAGACACCGTATGTTTGGCTTTAGATTGGCAGTTCCTTCCAATGAATGCCAATGAGACATCTGTCCAACATCTTTGTGCGTGTGTGTGTGCACTTGTGTGTGTGTGTGTGTGTGTGTCTGTGTGTGTGTTGGCAAGTACAGGTCTTCCCTTGCTGTCCTCCTCTGTAGGAGGGAAATCAATCTGCCTGTCAGCCATCTAACACCTTCCACCTGTTACTCTACCTATCACTGGCGATACCTGTGTGTGTGTGTGTGTGTGTGTGTGTGTGTGTCTTGTCACTCTGTCAACCCCTGTCTATCCATCCTGCCATCAGCCTGTTGTGCTTTTTGTCTATCTGTCCTCCTTTCTTGTCCCTGCTGTATCTTCACTGTCTGTCTCCCCCTGTCGAAAGCGTCTTCTCTCAACTGTTAATCTGTCGGCCATGACACCGCCGTTGAAAAATGACGACGCGTTGCATCACCTGTTTCTCCTTTTTGTTATCTCATTCCACATTCTGCTTCCTAAATATTCCCCACTTTAGCTATTCTGCTCCGTACTCAATTTGTTTGTTTGCTTCTGTCACACACCTGAGCCAAAGATACTGTGCTGCAGTTGAATTTTAACACTTATAATGACAACCTCTCATGAAATGTATGGACATGATTTATCGCAGTGAGTCGCAAAGAATGGCATTTATAACTCTCTTCTAAATACATGCCAGTAAAATGCAGTGGAGGCAGAGGTGGGAGAAGTACCAGAGTGTAAGAATACTCTGTTACAAGTAAGCGTCCTGCATTCAAAATGTTACTCTCGTCAAAGTACAAAGGTATTACCATAAAAATATAGTGAAAGTAGCGACAGTAAAAGTAGTGATTGTGCAGATTGGTCCATTTCAGAATAATATATGATATGTTTTATAATGATTGATCATGAAAGTGTTCTCAAAGCTGGTAAAGGTGCAGCTAGTTTGAATGACTTTGTATACTGCAGGGTAGCTTGTGAATTTACTCCAGGTGGAACTAAAGTCTGATTTAACACTTGATTATATTTCACATTATTAATCCAAATATGTATTAAATACATGTAGTGGAGTAAAAGTACACGATTGACCTCCGAAGTGGGGTAGAAGTACAAAGAAGCAAAGTACAAGTATCTCAAAATGATAACTGGTAGATATCACCATGGAGCTTCCCCAGTTGATACCTTAGGATATATTAAGACATTTTAGTATCAAAGGTCTCATACTGCCTAGGCTGCAGCAGCTATGTTCACCCTCTGTCTGAAACCAGAGCCCAGTCTGCTCTGATTGGAGGTAATCAGTAAGTATATCTACTCATCCAACAATGTTTTTTCTCTCTCTTCCCAGATCCCCCAGGTCAGCTACGCCTCCACGGCCCCAGAACTGAGCGATAACACCCGCTACGACTTCTTCTCGCGCGTCGTACCGCCAGACTCCTACCAGGCCCAGGCCATGATGGACATCGTCACGGCGATGCAGTGGAACTACGTCTCCACGCTAGCATCGGAGGGAAACTACGGAGAGAGCGGCGTGGAGGCCTTCGTGCAGATCTCCAGAGAAACCGGTAGGAGCTCTCACTGTTTGGACGATGATGTGTAGACCAGCGGTTCTCTAAAAAAGTGTTGCCTTATCCTCATATCTGAAGAGTTACTAGGTTTAAAGGTCCCCTATTATACTGTTTTTCATTAATATATTATAGGTCTCAGATATATACAAAACATGTCTCTGATTGGCTGAAATACCAAACAAATCATTGTAGCATCCCATAATCCCCTCTGTTTCAGCCCTGTTTCAAAAGTGCTGATTCTCTGTCTGGGGGGGTTACCTTGGTTGGTGATTGGCTAATGGTTACACAAGCCAAAACATCGTTATGACATCATAATGTGGCCAAAATCTGATCAGCTCATTTTCAGACAGGTTTTTATAGAAATGGATCAGGACAAAAGTGAGAGAATCTTTGTTCCTGAAACTTTCAGAATCTCTTTCCACAGAGGGGACACATGTTGATGTAGAAAAGACATGGAAAAGTGGATTTTGCATAATGGGTGACCTTTAATACGAATAATGCTGCTGCTCTGCATTTGAATGTTGATTTAGATTTCCAATGTCAATGTAACAAATGAAGTTTTGAAGTTACTTAGGTTTGTACTTAGTGGTGGTGTGAAAAGTAAGTGAAGGCTTTGCCACTTCTTTTCCGCCTGTTAGGATATAACCACTATGATATGCCGTGCATAGTGCACTTCAGGATATGATATAGGATCAGGCTTTCTAGAGAAATATAAAAGGACAGGGAGCAGACCTGTCGTTCACATCTTTCGGGAAACTCGAGGGAAAATCCACACTTGGGGTAAATTGCAGGCTGTAGATTACAGGCTGTAGCGAGTGAGTGCTGACAGAGACTTACAGAGGAAGCATCCAATGGTCAAGTGTCTCTTCTACACTTCCTTTTTTAACAATGCTACAGGCTATTGTACACACATAAAGTGAAAAATGTTTGCTGCCATGTGTATTGTGCCCTTAGACTGCATATAAGTATTATATGTTGTCACCATTTGTTTGTGGACTGCCGTTTTAAAGCCTTGAGAGCTTGTTTTTTTGGAAACAGAAGTGAAACAAGAGCGTTTACTTAAATACAACCGCATGAACGAGACATCTTAAGGTGACCAAAAAGTTACAATTACCGTAACCTCCATGCACTGAAAACACTGTGAAAGAGAGACAACCCCATAGCAGCCACCTACCATTCATGACTGCTATATCATTTGTAAACTTTAAATTGAAGCATCATTTACGAAATGTTCTAAAGAAGAACTGACCATAAACTCATTAGGAATATGTGTAAAGCGTGTGTGTGTGTGTTTGAGAAGTAGGGTCTTTTTCTCGTAGACTTGTATACAATTGGACTTCTTATTTCTTTCTGTTATGAGGTTAGTAATTAGCTTTCCAGATGGACATTAGGTTTATATTTTGGTCTTCATATTTGGGAGTTTAAAGGTGGGGTAGGTAAGTTTGAGAAACCGGCTCGAGATACACTTTTTGTTATATTCCATGGAATGCTCTTAACATCCCGATAGCATTGAATATCTTAAGTGCTTTGACAAAAAATCCATTAAAAAATATCATCTGTGGAAGCCGTAGTACTGTAAAAAGTACGACCAATCATTTTAGCCGGCCCGGCTAAAAAAACTGGATGGCCTACCTGCCTGTCAGCCTTCCATCTGTGCACAAACTTATCTCGTGCCCTCATTGGTCATGTGCGCGTTCGTGTGTGTTGGAGGAGGGGCTCTGTAAGGAAGTGGCAGATTTGTTCCGGCTGTGTATTTTCAAAATCTAGCGCACTCGAGCCGGTTTCTCCAAAATGACCTACCCCACCTTTAACTATCAGAAAATGTTTCTTTGGAAAGATGGATGTTTTGTGAATGAATGTGCACCCACCTTGTAGAGGAGTATTATCGAGGTACACCTCAACAAGCTTGTTCTTTTGCATTTTAGTTCTTATTTTATTTTATAGGATGTTTTAAAGTCCATTCATTCCTTACACGTCTCTGTATTGTGCACAGAACTATAGTCAATTTGTGTGTGTTATGATTGTGATTAACACAAGGCTGAAAGGCAATATGGACATCTATTATCAATGATTGTGTGGACCTGATCATCATAATGAAAAGGGATTTAAAAAAATGATTGTCATGGTGAGTTACGTTAAAGGATGAAGCAACCAGTATCTCAGCAAAGTGTTGACATCCTCTCATCAGGCAAGAGTGATGGGAGAAGATTTGAATAGAGCAAATGAGTCAGTTATACAGAACGGAGGGAAAACACACAGAGATGGTCTGTTTTGATGTCTGTCTGTCTTTAAAGTGCGTTCCCTGCAGTCCCGGAGCATCGTGTTTGGGTGAACGCTGCCTCAAATCAGTTAAGGAATCCCTCAAGTGATGTTGACAGATCAAAATGCAGCCGGTTTCCTGTTTATGTCTCAAATGTTTGATGCATCTATCAAGTTGGGTGACAAATATTTACAAACTGACGCTATATTTGAGAAAGTACCCGTTGAGATCTTCCATGTTTCTTTCCATCTGCGTTCATCCTTTAACCCTCCGTCCCTTTTTCCGGGATAGTTCGTGTGCTGATGTGAGGATGACAGCTCTGCGTACTCTGCTGTCTACCCCTGTGTTTGTGTGTGTGTGTGTTATTTTGGCTGGCCCGCGGCTGTGGCAGTCAGCACATAGATGTTTACTGTGGTGTCAGATCAGTGTGTGCGCCTGGGCGTGTGTGTGTGTGTGTGTGTGTGTGTGTGTGTGTGTGTGTGTGACTGTAAAGGGTAAAGCAGTCCTCAGCAATGTAACTGTGTCCTGGGAGTCAGTAGATATTGCACTATCTTGCCCTCTGTGATTGTGTGTGTGTGTGTGTGTGTGTGTGTGTGTGTGTGTGTGTGTGTGTGTGTGTGTGTGTGTGTGTGTGTGTGTGTGTGTGTGTGTGTGTGTGTGTGTGTGTGTGTGTGTGTGTGTGTGTGTGACATGCCGTGTTAGTTGTTTACTCTGCGGCTCTGCAGATGCGAACAGAACGAAGAAGATGAAAGGATGTGGAAGGAAGGAGGGGAGGGGAGAGGAAAAAGTGACCAAGGGGGAGAGTTCAGTTTATGTGTGTGTGTGTAGGTGTGTGTGTGTTACAGTTATGAATCAAGCTATAGAGTGGAGGAAATAAATGGGTAGAGACAGAGAATAGAAGAAGAATGGGACAAGGAAGTGGGAACATACACACACACACACACACACACACACACACACACACACACACACACACACACACACACACACACACACGCACACGCACACGCACACACACTGTAACGTATATAGTGGTACAGGTGGACACACACACGGAGCCACAGGGAATTTCTTGGTGATTATGTTGTGATTGCAGTGTAATGATCGCAGCTTACAAGCCACTCTGCATACTGATACCAAACATCCATATTAATTGGTGTGTAATCGCTCGCTGATGATTCTTGATAATGTGTGTGTGTGTGTGTGCGAGCCGGGGTGTGCGCATGCATATTAATCAGCGGGAACTTTAAGAACAGGAGCTGAAGTCTTGTCAGCGTGAGTCGGGGGTTACAGGGTGTATGTGCTGAGTTACAGGACTGATTTAAGTCATTTCTCGCTGCACTTGTCCCGTGTCTTTTCTCACTCCGCACGCCTAGAAAGTTTAATATTTACAGTCTTTGAAACGGAACGTGTCCTACTTGTGTTTGCTGCTCCACAGCTGCTGTTTGCTCCACTCCCAGGAGGAGTTATGTAGAAGATTCTGCACAATTTTGCAGCCAAGCAACGCTCAGCAGAATCTTTTTGTTTGAAAGGGAAAGGCTTTTCGGGAGAAATAACAACACTTTCTGTATCGGCACAGGAAGTCGTCGTTGCAATTTCACTCTGAACGTCTGTTATGTCTTTTTGGTCGTTTTGCGTCACTTCTTAGACTTTTTGACTGGCATTTATTTGCTTTTCCTAGTCATGGTGTGTCTGATTTGTTGCCTTTCTTGGCTGTCACTTTGAGTCTTTTTGGTATATCAGCGGCCATCTTTTTCATTTCCTCTGATTTGCAGCTGCTTCGTGTAATTCTTTTGCCTTTTCAGCCTTTTTGCGTCACTTCTTTTTGGCACCTCAGCTGACATTTTTCATTTTTTCCTATGGTGTCTCTGATTCGTGTAACTTTGATGTCTTTTCCTTTGTACCTTTTTGGTTGTTTTGCCCGTTTCTGTGTCTTTTCTTTCTCTTTTTGTGAGTCTCTTGTGAGCAGTCGATTATCAGACAGGCAAAAAAAATGGTGTCTGATCCCACCCACATACTCCACCCCAGAATTCCAGCTCCTACCTTCTGGTAGAAGATTCAGGGTTCCCAGGAGCAGGCTGAACCGCTATAAGCACTCATTCCTACCTATGTCCATTAAGCTTCTTAACATTCACATGAAATGTAGTCAAATGTAATGAAATGTACTTTTTAAATGTTGGCCATGAGGGTTGTGCAATAGGTCGCCATTGTCAGTATGTGCGTCTGTGTATTGTGTTTGTTCAAACGGTGTATGACTGATGATATGTGTATGTCTCTTAATGTCCACTATGTTTGTATATGTACATGTATGCACTGCAGGACGGAGTCCAGAACAAATTTCCTTACGGGGACAATAAAGTATATCGTATCGTATCTATGTAGTCTTTCGCGTGCCTTTGCCCTATATGGTAATTTAGTGTCTTTTCATAATCTTGCGTGTCTGTTTTGCATCTCTTTTCAGCCCATGTTTGCAGTTTGCTCAGCACACATCCGGAGATGTATTCGCCGTGACTGTTACAGCGTGCTCAGCCTGTGTGCGGTCACCCCCAGCCATGGCTTTCCATTCATGCAGAACTAGTAACAGACACAGCTCAGTGAGCATGGGCCAAACATGTTTACTCATCATTAAGAGCTGTGCGCAAACCTGGTGCATAATGCAACGATTTCCCTTTTGCACACAACGATCCGACGTAGAGCGGTGATAAAGGGTAATGGACAAATAATGTTAAGGCCAACA